AATGTCTTCAACTAGATACGATTTGTGATCTTTTGACGTATTGTTGTAAGAAATCGGTCCAGTGAGAGCTGAGAAAAAGTGGTGACAGACACAAAAAAAAATAAATAAACACATCATGGTAAAATTAATACCTTGTCAGTTTCTCACCGAAGCTAAAAAATTATATTGATATGTTCAGTTTTGAAAAAGTTATCGGTTCAATGAGATTGAGCGTATACAGACACACAAAAAAAAAAAAACACATCGTAGTAAAATTAATACTATCTCAGCTTCGCATCGAAGCTAAAAAAAGTTCTAGCAGTTTTAAAATGTAAAAAATGTTTTTTGGCAATATCGTTATTCATATTAGCGTAATTTTGGAATAATTTTATAAAATTTACAAAAATATTGTGTTTTTTTTATTTTCATCGATGATTGGTTTCAATTGGATAAAAATCGCGTTCTTTTGATGTATTATTAATAGAAATCGGTATATTGAGTACTTAGAATTTTCATAGATAGACTTAAAATAAAAACATTACCTCAAAAGCAATACCAGGTCTGCTTTGATTTAGAGCTAAAATAAATAGATGATCATGAAGAAAAAAAATATCTTTACAACTAATATCAAAGTTAAATTTTATAAATGCATATAAAAATGTTCTTTGGTTTTTAATTTTTTGAGTATGATCAAGTCTAAAATCATACCAAAATTATTTTTTTATAAAGTAAATATATTAACAAATGAATTAATATTTAAAAATACATAAAATTTAACATTATTGTACATAGTAAATAGCGTCATAACATATTTTTGTTTTACATTTTACTGACTACCAGAAAAAATATTAAAATTACTCGATTGGGTTTCATTTTATTATAATTCGTATCCAATTGACATTCGAATTCCACAAGAATGTATAAATAAATATTATAAACAGTTAAGTAAAAGTTGAAAATTTATTTGTTTTCTATGTAATATTACAATGGAAACTAAATTTATCTATGTAGTACATATTATATACAAATATCTTTTTTACTCTAAAAAAAATTAGAGATTTAAATTAATATATGTTTCAGTTTCGATACGAAGCTAAAAAAGTACTAATTTTACCATGATGTGTTTTTTTGTGCCTGTTGTCACTTTTTCTTAGCTCTGACGGGACCAATTTCTTTCAATGATGGGTCAAAAGATTAAAAATAGTATCTAGTTGAAGACATTATCTTCAAAAATTGAAAATTTTTTCATCATACCCCGTAAATGAAGGAATTCACCCAAAAAATTATGAATTTTAAAATCAGTAAATTTGGACATTTTTTTCACTGTTCTAAAAATTCTCATGACGTATTGAAAAAATGAAAATAATTTATTTTTATATTAAAACCTTAGATATTTCCCTTTTCATTTGATAACATTTGTTTGAAAATCTAACACTTAACCTGCTCACAGATAATGTAGCAACTTTTTTATGGAAATTAACTTTTTCAACTTTATTTTTAAAATTGTTCCGGAATTACTGCATCCTTTAAATATATATAAAATTAAAGCTTATGTCATATACAGG